CTTCAGTCTTCCAGTTATCAAAGCCACAATGACACTATTTTTGTATTCCAAATGGGGCAAAAATATATCTATATATCTCTATATATAAATATATCCATGCAGACGTGGTTGGGGTGCAGTAACTCCCCCTGTTGCTGGCAAGGTGGAATAACACAACGCCATCCGAACCCATGGATCACTTGGAGGAAGGAGCTGAGCAGGACTACGGAGAGACTTGCAGATTGAAAACTCCTGGGTGGAGGTAGAGGCTCACAGACGGACTACAGCATGCATGCGCCAATCATTTACTGGACACCTTCAAAGAAACAGTCTTTACCCAATATTTACTCTCTGACTCCCCCCTTTAATCCCCGTAACCCTTCCACCCTCCTCGACACTCCTACTACCCCCCAACTCTTGTCTCTGCATTTGCAATATGATCTGTATTTATTTCTATAATAACTTACACAAAGTCAAGGGAGACGTATTATTGGATATAATTGAATAAAACAAACTAATATATTTGTATGATTGTAATGCTGGTCTCTGGAGAGTTTTTTTTCCAGGTGTTTTGACGTCATCTCTGAGACGTGTCGCCTACAGTTTTACATTTAGGACGAGATCTCGTTAGCCGTCATGAAAAACCCTTAAACTAGATACAGTTGTGATTTGGAGCAGCCATGATTTAGACTTTTTGTCTCTCAAAGTCATTACGTCTTTCTGATAAGACGTTGTTTAAGAACAACTTTTGGGGTTGCCAGATTGGGGAAAATCCTCCAATCAGAGACACCCTTCATCACAACCTTGCTTAGAAACTATGACATTAGCAGTCAGACACAGGATCATTAATTTATTGGAGCAAAAACAACATAAAATAAACACAAAGCAAAGTAGGGAATACCATGACTATGGGTGGGTGGGTGAGCAAAGATCAGTGGGAGAGAAAAGCTCCACCGCGGCAGTGATTTATAGTGGGAGCCCATGTTTCTCCAGTTGTCCTCATGGTTGGTTCCCACCACCTACCACAGTATAAAAATGTATCATGTCAACAGGTGAGACGGCCAAGCAGACCAGCTGGTGCACTGGTCTAGCGTCTTCCAGCTGCAGAACATCTGGACCAAAATCCACGGAGGAAGTACGTATTCATTTGACAAACTGCAATGATTAGTCAGCATTTTGAACCACACACCTGATGGATAGTTTGTGGTTTACCAACATTTATAACTGCATTATTTCTGAATAGACAGAAAGGTTTTTATTATTATTATTATTATTATTTACACTGTTGCAAGAGAGAATACAATTTATCATCTCAACATTTGTGTTTGTTGCATCGACATCTAGTCAAACTCTTGTTAAATGTCAAACAGTCCATTGGAAAAGTTGCACTATGTCGTGCTGGAAGGGGATTTTCCACAACCTGGCATCCCAAGTATGTTCTTATCAGATAGTCAAGCCAAAATTAATACTAACTGATTATTATTATTACGATTTAAAGACTCCAACTGCACCACAGAAGAAGAAGCAACTGGATGAAAAGAACTGTGACACCTCAGTTATTTTTTATGTAAGAAACTCCACAATTTAGCTTTAACTGTTTTGACATCAGCCCAAACAGATAGAACCAATCACAAAGTTTCAACACTGCGCCTATGAAAAACAAAAATGTATCTGATTGAAATTTTGCCTTCCAAGTCGTCTTCTTAGGCGCTGCTCCCAGTGCTCCTGTACCATATGAAACGTTCTCTGGAGGTTGTATTTTATTATGTCAAGCATTATCTGCAACTTGTGCCAGACCTCCTCTACTATGTCAAAACAGGAAACCTTCAGCTTCACTCTGGGGAAGAGGAAGACGTCACAGGGAGGTACAGCTGGTGAGTAGGTGATGGACAAAAAGCTTTTCAGTGCCATGTAAGTACACAAGCACTGACACGACTACACACAACACAATTCAGTTTGTATCAAATGTTCCCTCTCAGGTTCGTCAGCCAAACCTGGTACTGACAGTGTGAGCTTATTAATTGACGGTGCACATGCTTGTGAATGTCAGACAAAATGACGAGCCCACTCTTGGTAATGACTTGATGTAGAATGTTGTTTGTTCTCTGGGTTCTAGCCGTAGACGCAACTCTTAACAGCAGTGATGACCGACAACATGAAAGTTGAATCAAGTAGACACCAATATTCTGTCTCTGAAAAGTTTAAGGTTCAAGGTGAAATTGCAACGGAGATCATGGGTAACTTTAACCCACGTACAGTTTCTGAGGTTTTTGAATATATTTGGTTCTAACTCCATTTACGAAAACCTTCATTCTGCAGCGTACAAACTTGTATTGCAGAGTCTGCAGGTGTAAAGTAACGAATTACATTTGCTCGCGTTGCTGTAATTGAGTAGTTTTTCTGTGTACTCACAACTTTTGAAGTAGTTTTTAAAATCTGTACTTTTACTTTTACTTCAGTAGTTTTTTTTTTATGAAGTATTGTAATTTGCTACATTTTAAAACACATCCGCTACTGAGTAAAAAAAAAAAGTATGCTTAAATAAAAAATAAACATTGCGCGAGTGACAGCTGCCGTGTCAACCGCAAATAAACACCACAGAAGAAGAATTAAAACAAAACCGCATGCATGATGGGCAGGAAAGCTAATTGCCACTAAATCACAAGCAAGATGTGATTTTTGTTCTCATTTTTGTCGTTCCACACGACTGCGCCCAAGATCGGTTCACAGAAAAATGTAAGTTCAGTGTCCACCAACATTTTGTTTGTTTTTAATGAACTCTTTCGATTAAATCTTTGGCACGTGTTATCTCTGATGAGGAGAAAGAAAAAGCAACAACGAAATGATTACAGTGATGCATTTTTAATACGAAAACACATCGACACCAGTTTGGTTTAAATACTGATTATCTCCAACATCAAACCGTACAACTCCGTTAAAGAGACAACATCATGCTTCAGTGTAATCTGATTACTATAATCTAGCTCATTACTTGAGAAAAAATACCATCGTCATGGGTAGACAATCAATCCGATTTAAGTTAACTACTTACTTCTGAATTAAAGAGTGATCTCCCTGAATGCAAGTGGCCGCCAGCAGCAACTTCATACATTCCCTCCTGACCGCCGACGTGATGTGCGACTTGACACTGGCTGCTAGCTGTTAATAGTTAGCTTCTATGGTAATTAAATTGGCGGCGGGCCAAATGGCAGTGACAGCGGATCATAAATTAGGCTGGCATGGATGGCCGACGAATGTGCGCGAGAGCAGAGTGGCATGAAGAGATGAGCGGAGGGACATAAAGAGGAGGATGGAGATGTTTTACTGCAGGGGCCTTCAGGAAATACAGCAGCGTCTCGGCAGTTAAACGCTTCGATCAGCTTGGCGTTATACGGCGAGAATAACGGCTGCCGTATCACCTCTGTACGTCGGGTTGGTCAGCTGGACATGACACACATGCATTTCACTTCTGTGATACCAAATCATACATCAGAACTGCATTACGCCAGAGTTAACTATATATTACCTCTGATGCACTCGAGCCGTGGATTCCTTGAGATTCAGGGACGAAAGTTTCGGAGGGAAATTAGTATTGCGTCGATGATGGGTGTAGACCAGATGGTGTCGTGTTGAGGACGGCTGGGAACAGGTGGGGGCAGAATCTTGATGAGGCATTGTGGAGTCTTCCTGTAATGAAAGAGCGGGAGGGGAGCGGGGGAGGAAAAGGGGGGATTTGGGGCCAGTGGGATGTGAGAACTGTGAGGCAAAAAGGGGAAATGAGGTGGTTAAACACAGCAACATAAGTTGGTGCAAGAAACTGGATGAGAACAAGGTGTGTTTTAGAACTTACTAGAGCTTCTTTACAAATAAGATGGGGCAGATTTCAGGGGGTCACATGGAATACATTCCCCTTAATATGCAGAAAGTTTTGAACCTGAGCAGAAACACACGTGAGCCATTAAAGTCAAGGGTTTTATAAATGAATTGAAGTTCGGTGAAGAGGCGCCATATGGACATCTAAAGCAGTCACTTCCCCAAAGAAAGGAGTAAATCATGCTTATGTGTTGAATCAGCATCTGCAATACAAAATGACTGACTGCATGATGTTGTGTTTGCCTGGATATTGTTTCCCTTGACCATAGACTGTATAAAAGATGGATGAAGCCAACCCGGAAGTGTCAAAAACCTGCAATATCACTACGTCCGCTAGTCCTGGCTCCAAAAAGCCCTGGCTCCCATAGACTTGCATTGGAAAAGAAGTGATCACAGATAAAGAAATACTGCATTCCTACAGCTCAGGATTTTTTAAAAATTAGTTTTCATGGTCAAGTCCAGAGATCAGGTGGCCAATCTGAAAATAAATCAAAACTCAATTTTTTAAAAATCGTCAACATTTTGCGGGGCAAGGGGCGTGGCTGGCTTGATTGACAGTCGGCAGCGACCATACAGATGAAGCCAGCAGAAGGCGGTAAATGTGGGCGGGCAGAGAGGACCTGTCCCTGACCAATCGCTGCTCCTATGGCTCCGCCCCCCTCCGACGATTTTTGCGTCACTGGCTCCAAAAATCCAAGATGTCAACCAGTAAGTAGCAAAACCCTGGCTTCATTTTCGGGTGACGTCACGGTAGCTACGTCCATCTTTTATACAGTCTATGCCCTTGACATAAATCAAGCTTTTTCAATGTAGAAAAGGAACAAATTGGTGCGTAAAGCTTCACCAGAATGCAGGATCTGTCCGTTTCTTTGACATGACCTGTCAAATCAAACGTAATAAACGGCTGTGACATTGCTTCAATGTATTCAAAGTAGAGGAATCAAAAGAATCTGTTTGGTTGGTTGCCCCAAGTGGACCCCTGTGGGCTCCCGAGCCACAGTTTGACACCCACTCTATCATAAATTGTTACTGAGCAGAGTCATGCCCGGTTCACGCTGACTGCAACATGCACAACCTTCCCCCCTCTCCTCCCTCCTGGAGGTAATCGGAGCAGACAGCAGTTGGCCAGGCCGGCCTGACTGACAGACAACAACAGTCCAAAGTGACCAAAGCAAAACTCAAGAGTTCCAGCGAGCCGCCCTGGAAAAGCAAAAGAGGAAGTTGAAGACGTTGGATTAACCCACCGAGGGTCTGTTTTTGAGGAGGAGAGGAGTTTGGTTCTGGTGGGGGGGTCGCCATGAAAAACCTGGATCTGTTCCTGCTGGCGTGTTGCTTATGCAGCCTGAGCACATTGGGAGGTAAGGCACAGGCTGACACAAGCTGTAGTAGCCATGTAACGGATACTAGAATAATATCACACATGAAATGATACACCAGAGACTGACCAGTAAACAGGCTACCAGACTGGCAGTGGATGGCAACCAAAAACTACCACAGGAACATTACTGCGTATCTGGAGCACAGTTCATGAGAATATTAAAGGTACAAGAGGGACATTTTAGTTGAAGACAGCGCAGCGATTTCCTAAATGCAATGTGCTGTCAGGACAGATCACACATACGCTGCTTTAGTGTGTGAAGTGTTTCTCTACAGCCTCACTAAGAAAACTGTAGTATTAAGAGTTAGTTATAAATCATGGCAAACTCACTTCATTTACTGGTGGCATCAATGCAAAAACTGTGAGTAAAAACACCAATGAAACGTGATAATATTAAACACAAGCACTGGATTGTGCTAGTGACCCTGTAAGACTGTGCTCGCAGTACTTTGAGCAAAATGCTAACATTAGCATTGATATACTAACACGCTGTGTTTAACAGATAATACTAACCAACTTAGAATTTGTGTTTAGAGTACTAACGTTGTAGGTTGTATACCACAAATTGGTGCAAACAATCATTTTACAGATGCTAACCATGGTATATTAGCATCTTGTGTTCACCATGTTATAATTAATCGAATAAGTTTACAGGTTATAGCGTAACACTCATCATTTGAGCTACATGCCACCTTTAACATTCTAACATGACGTCTAGTGGTAACAAGCTGTACTTGCTATGCTATAGGCTAAATGCTAATTTTAAGTTGCTATCATGCAGTGTTTAAAGGTAATATTAGCCAGGTTTACCATTTGCATTTCAACATATAAGGCTGTATGTGTTTAGCTAAATGCTAACATTAACATGCTAACATGCTGCTCATGACATGCTAACATTTTCTGTTTACCAGGTAATATTCTCAAGGTTTACCATTTTGAAGGGCTAACATTTGAGGCTATGCTTGCTATGCTATAAACAAAACACAGTAAGCATAGCATGTTAGCATGTCATGGTCAACATGACCAAAATACCTCATAAATACATGGCCAACATGTGTTTACTCGTATTTTTACAAGGTTTAAAATTTTTAGAGTGTTAGGTTGAAAAAATTTGAGCCTGTACATGCTATAAGCTAACTAACATTAAGATTCCAAAATGCTGTTAATAACTTGCTAACGTATTGTAACTAGCAACATTTACCGTCTTATCCTAGAGTGTTAGCATGCTCACACTGGTTAATTAGCACTTAATACACAGTACAGCTAAGGCAGGAATGTTTGATTATAAACCAATATTGTCGAAACTGGATGTTTTACCTGATGGTGGTGTCGTAAATTTAAATTTTATGGCAATTTGTTGAGATCGACATTTACCACTTATACAAATTGTAATTGTAAATAAATGGTATCTGAGCAGCATGTATACAGGCTGTGATAAACACTGATCACCAAAACCAAAAAAAGTCATTGGTGTTATGATTAATAAAGCTCAGTGTTTAAATTCTACACTCCGGGTATCACTGGACAAAAGCAGGGCACTCATGCAATCATGCTCATAGTGTCAGAACAGACTGGAAGCAGACAGGAAAGGAATAAACAAAGGCGTGAAGAATAAAATGGGACAAGAGTGATGCCAGAGGATTTTATCTGTCCTGTGTTAGTACTCACAGCAGTCATAAACTCAAAGTAAATACCATCAGAGACACCGAAGCCATAAACAATCACTGACGGACGAGAGGCGTCTATTCCTTCTGAGAAATCAATGGGCTTTTTCAGACGGCTGATTTGATAAGTGACCACTGGTTACTAGACAAGTACAAGAGCGTCATTTATTTGGAACTTTATTGCTGTCGGTGCCATTTTTAAATCATGTTTATCACTGCTCACTTGTGTTTCGTGGAGTTATATATGAAAAAAAAAGACCATTTAAGTGTCTTTTCAGGTGGAAACTGCCGTATATTCTCTTCTCCAGAGTGCACCAACAGAGAAAAGCACACCATGACCAGTGGAAAAAGTGGGCTTTCCAGGAGGCAGCCTATCTGATCTCATTGCAATTTAGTCAGTTTAGGTATTTACCAAGTCGTCTGAACTAGGAAGGGAGATAAAAAAAATGCTAAATTCTAGCCTTCAGCAACCGCCTCCCATCCCATCCCTCACCCATCAGCAGCCATGCTTCCCTGTGCCTAGCTAATGGGGGTGCCTTGCTGGGTGATCGTCGTCATTTATTCCTGTCAGGTCAGATCCTGCTGGGGCCACAGCGATGCCAAATGTGATGAATGCTGCGTCACCAGAGCTGCTGATTATAAATGCTTCTAACCTTCCAATACTGAAGAGGAAATGGGCACAAGGAACACATGGGTTATGTATGAAAATGCGACGGAATGTAAGCGTTTGGTGGACTCAGTGCCTTATTTATTTATTATCTGAATTATAACCTTTGAGCAGATTGTTGTAGGAGTGTGCAATGTTAACAAATATGAAGATACACTTAATTAAGCTGTACTTACCATTACAGTGTAGAAATATTTGGTTCTAAAAGCACGGCCACTTAGCAGTTTTGTTAGTGTTCATTCAAAAGACATATTTGTACCATTTATTCTAATGACTTCAAACCGTGTATCGTTTCTGAAGACGCTGACCCTCTGATTGAGAAGGCCGGTACACATGGATGGTAATAACACAGCTAATAAGCCCTGATAGCGCCCTCTATTTATATTCTGTCCTCAAAGGTCAACAACAGCATCATTAGTGACAATTTGGAATAAATAGGTTTTATTGGGACGCTTTTCCTTTTAGCTGCAGTTGAGTCTTTTACATATTGTTGATCGAGACGTAACGCAGATTATAGGTTTTTGCAGAACATGAAGTGAGCACATTTCTGAGCTGGGCCTCCCATCTGAATCGAATGTGAACCTGTTGTGTTCCCTGTGGGCTTTGCAGTCAGTGTGAGGCAGGAGGTGAGGCTTCGTTCTCGTGTGTTACCTTTGAAGCATCTTTAATTCTAAGTGCTTCGACTTCTAGAGACCTCAGGATGGTTATCAGGCTTCTGCAGAGCTTGATGATGAGCTGATCATTTGAATCAGGTGTGTTGGAAGAAGGGAAGCATCTAAAACATGCTGGATAGGGGCTGTCGAGGACCAGGATTGGGCACCCCTGATCTACAGTCTACGACTCCGGTTAGCGAGCAACCTTCTTCAGGCACGCATATCCAGATTTTGCAGTGTTTTCCTGCTGCCACATGGTCACTGAGCGAGAGATCTGATTGGTTGTCACATGTGAACGCCAATCAATCAGTGGTTTTGCACAAAGAATGAACTTTATTTAAAAGTTTTTTGGTTTATTTTACAAGCTATGAGAGGAATGCTTTAGATTATATTGTAAACAGTTATTTGGAGTAACAACTGCATCTTCAGGTTTATTAAGGTTTTGCAGCACCGTATGAATCTTCATCTGACTTGTATCGTTAAATTAAACTGACCACTAGCAATGGGTGTGAACGGGTTTCAGCTTGAAACCTGAAGTCAGAACTAAACTAAACCCTCTGTACGTGTCACTCAGGTGCTGATGAAACAGAGCAGGCTCTGATGAAGACCGTCTTTACCGGCTACAACCTGAAGGTCCGGCCGGCTCGCAGCCCTGAAGAGAGGGTGGTGGTTCGTGTGGGCATGGTCCTCTCCTCCTTCGTTGGACTGGTGAGGCTCAACGGCCAAACATGAATGTTTATGCACATGAGTATGCACACATGCACACAGTAAATGATCAATCCCAGTTTTAACAAGTCAAAAAACAGTTCAAGCTTACTGGCTACAAGTTGATAGTGGAGTGGAAGGTGTTGTTTCTGTTTTGGACATTCTGAATGCATTTGACTCAAATAAACCAAGCTTCACACAAAGATGATCAGATTAAGAGATGAAGAAAGGAAAATAAAGACACTTTGGATGACAAATGGTGCACAAATAGCAGAATGTCAGGAAGAGTTCTGCTCACATTTCTCAGTTAAAAGGCTGTTTTCAAAGCAGAAATAATGTAACTGAGTACATTTGAATGTATGATTCAGTACCTACAACAGAATTTAATACGTGGTCAACATGAGATGAGGGGAGTAGATGCAACATTATTTTTAAGCTTTGGTGTATATGATAGTATGGAAACTAGTTACATTAGGTGACCTGGAGGTAGTTTATGGGCTTCCTGTACCCTAAAAAAAGGCATCGAATACAAAGTTGAACAATAAGTACCTTAAGGTTGAGACAACAGTTTCATATGGCTTCAGAATCCAAACTCTTCTTGGATGTTGGAATCTTCCATGCTGCCTTCATTTATCCTGTACAGTTTAGTGGTGTTTGATCCAAGCTGGCTACAGTATGCACATGTGCACCTTTGAAATATCCTGCAGCTATGCTACCCACACATGCAGATGGTTGTATTAAGGCTTAACTGTGCATAATTTTAAGCCTTAATACAATTTAAATGGATGAGTCTCATAAAAATCCACCACTGTACCGTTGTCCCAAACATGGAAAGTAGCTGTAGAGACCAGAAATATGTTTTGTAACAGGCTGTAAACTTGCTTATTCCTGCTGTAAAGTTGCACATTTTTACATGGGGGTTAATGGGAATTGATTCACTTTCGAAGCCAACCCCAAGTGGTCATTCATGGAACTGCAGTTTTACGGCACCTCTGCGTTTGTCTTTATTTTCCTCCCAGTTTGGATGTCATCAGCCCAATAAATGACTCGTTATGAGTGCATGTCATTCCCACAGCATTGTGTTTCACTTGCAAAGAGATACTAAGGTTCAGTTTTGGAGGCTGGAGATGATGAGGGAGGTGAAAGTCAGCAGTTGCTGTCCAAGGAGGTTTGAGTCAAGACGTGTCTCAAATCAATCTTATAGTTTTGTTTTTTGTCTTGTTTGGACTTTTGTTTCCACTCACTGTTTTTCAGTGTCTGGTTAAAGTTTAAGCACCCAAACTGTGAGGCTATTAGTCTAATGTCACCCTGTTGCTATGTTTATTACATGTTATAAAGCTCCATTTTATTAAAAAAAAAACACCATTGGAGCACTTTTCACATGACCAAAAGAGATCGCCAATGCCATCAGGATTACTTTCTGTATATATAATAATCAGAGTGAATGATATTCCACCTACAGAGCTTACAAGAAAGTCGAGGCGGCCCCTACTGGCCCACATGTATGGGATTGATATGCCTCATAATGGCTCTTTTAGTGGGCTGAATCTGCTAATCTTTCATGCTGGATGTTGCTGCTTGGTAGGTACACATTAACCGCACACACACACACCCACAGAGAGCTTCACGCCGGAGCCTTTAGCCAGAAAAAACTAGGACTCTTCTGCCTCAGGAGCTTCTCTGCCTCTCAAATGTAAATGAAATGCTGAAGTTTTGTATTCAACACTGTGAATATATCTAAGAACCATCTGGGTCTGAATTCAGAGCCAGATGGCACAAATGAGTACTACTGAAGTGAAGTACTGTATTTTTATTCATTCATGCTGGGAAAGGGTGTTTTAGCAGCATGCGCTGACTGGGCTGCTGCCTGTGTGACCGCATAAAAAGATAACAAGCGAGTGCACGCTCAGATACACACACACCGGGTCGCTTTATGTGTTCTTTATTTTCCCCTCGGCTCTCTTCTCTGTGGCATCCAAACCAACACACACACTCTCACACACACACACACTCGCACACACACTGCACGGTTGCTCCTTACACCTCCGCTCAAGGTCAGCCTCGCTCTGGAGAGGAAGTCACATGGGACCCTTTAAGTTCTGGAGTGGAACGATCTTGAAAACTGACCCACTTGGATGCTCATTGCCCCCGTCTGCCCAGAACTAGTCAGCTGGGTAACTGCGGAGTTATTATTAACGCTTGGCCCCCGAGGGACGACCTGAGGTGAATTGAAACAGTTACAGGAAGTATCAGTATGATAGGTCAGTAATGAGATAGGTAGAGAAAGATGGTTTAAGCCAGCGCCTGCCGTCCCCCAACCCCCTACTCTCTGTTCCGGGCCCAGCTGTCTCCCTGACATTCCTCCTGGTGTTTTAAATAGCAGGCCCGGCTTACAGAAGCCCAGCCTTCCTGCTTCCTACCATGTGATCCTATAAAGCGGTGCATCACATTTTAGCAACAAATGGTGACAAAGCTCGGTGTTTGTGGACGATGAAGTAAGCGAGGATACATGTTTCCCACAAGCTAAGCTAATTCCCTCTTGGTTCCAGCCCCACACTCACTATACAGTTTGTCTTTGTTAGAAAGCAAAATGTCTAAATCTTAAAACTAAGCCCTAGAAAACATCACCAAGAAGCAACACTGGGCTGTTTTGGAAACTACAATCACCACAATGTGTCTTGCCATGTTGTGTCTGCTTCCTCCTTGCATATAAATGTGTATGTCTGATCCCTAAAGAACAAAAAAGAGTCCAGACCTCTCTCCCGAGGCCACGGTTCTGTGAGCCAGTGAGCTTTGAACAGTCATTTTCCATTGGAAAAAGCAGCCTATACAAACATTACAATTTTTTCATGGGCGAAGTGATGGTTTGGCTGTCACCATTTTGGGATTTTAAAATCGGACGTAACAAGCGAGGGGTAAATATCAGAACTTCTTGACACGATGCACATCGGTACAGTAGAGACTTGTCAACCACAAGAAGTTTAGCGCTAGCTCATACCCTGTTTTATCATCTACTTCACTCCGAATAGGACAATCATTTACAATATATAGTCAAGACATCTTGAAACTAGCAATCGAGACTAGAAACTCAATCAGAAAACATTTACTGAGGTAACAAATAAGAAGGAGGGTCATTTTCTCATAGTCGCCTGTACAACCAGACTTCTTTTTCTTTTTCCCTGAGGAATCGCCCCCTGCTGGCAGGTTCAAGGTACTTCATACATCGTTTTATATGCAGTCTATGGCAGGGGTGTCCAATCCTGGTCCTCGAGGGCCACAGTCCTGCATGTTTTAGATGTTTCCCTCTTCCAACACACCTGATTCAAATGATCAGGATCGTTATCAGGCTTCTGCAGAGCTTGATGATGAGCTGATCATTNAAGCAGCCTATACAAACATTACAATTTTTTCATGGGCGAAGTGATGGTTTGGCTGTCACCATTTTGGGATTTTAAAATCGGACGTAACAAGCGAGCTGTAAATATCAGAACTTCTTGACACTATGCACATTGATACAGTAGAGACTTGTCAACTACAAGAATTGTAGCGCTAAATCATACCCTGTTTTATCATGTATTTAACTCCAAGTAGGACAATCATTTACAATATATAGCCAAGAAATCTTGAAACTAGCAGTTGAGACTAGAAACTCATTCAGAAAACATTTACTGAGGTAAAAAATCAAGTAAGAAGGATAGTCGTCTGCACAACCAGACTTCTTTTTCTTTTTCCCTGAGGAATCGCCCCCTGCTGGCAGGTTCAAGGTACTTCATACATCGTTTTATATACAGTCTATGGCCACTACTACACTTCACGGGAAGACTAATGTTACTTAACTACGCCAAACTTTGTACATTTTTAATGAGATAGTAGGAATGTCAGTGTAATGGAAGGAGCTAGTTTGGGATCATCAAAAAGTTGCAATAACATGTTAATGATAGAAATACACGGGTATTTGTTTTTGTGCATGGGTAATTATTTTAACACATGTATTTCAGTATTTGTTGCATCTTCTACATTACATTCTACCTGCATAAAAGGGGCTTGAGGAGGGACGGTCTGCGGTGCTGCAGCTGGGAAAGAATCTGAAATCAACCATGACTTACACACTTTATCCTATTTTTTTCCTTTAGAATATGAAAAATGAAGAAATGAGCACAGTTGTTGTCTTGAATCTGGTAAGTCTCTTTGTAAGAACGATCCGATGTTTTTGTTTTTGCACTACACTGCGAATGAATAACTCGTCACTGCTTCGTATCGGTTTAACCATCTCAGCCGTGACACCTACCACGGTGGCGATAAATGTATTAACACAAGACCTCCTTTTTCATGTAGAGCCCAGTGCCAACACACACAGCTGGAGCCAGTCACAACAACAGGCCAAATGAAACAAATATGCAAATGGTGTTTAGCTATGCAAGGACGAATGCATGGGGAAACCGTCCCCGTGGAATCTAATTACAGCGGCGGAAAAATGAAAAATAAACGGATGAAATGACGAATTGATTACATTTGTAAATGCAAAGTTTCCGCCTTCTGCCGTCCTCTGTTTCTCCCTCTTGTCGCTGCCCTTTTCGTGTACGTCTGTGTTGTTCTTACATTTCAACAACCGCTTTTTAAAATCTTTCAAACAGGAATGGACGGATCATCGGTTGTCGTGGAAACCAAAGCAGCACGATGGGATTGAGGTGTTGCGTGTCCCCGCTGGGAAAGTTTGGCTCCCTGACATCGTCCTCATCAATAAGTAAGCACGAGCGCTGACAAGAATTAAGTTGGGAGGAGAAACTGTTGGGTCGCTTCGTACCAGTTTGTTTGGTTTCTTCCTTTTGTTTTTACCCTTCCCTTACTATAAATATTGCAATCTAACAAATATTTTCAGAGTAATAAAAAGATTAAAGATCAAATCAGTTATGTCGGTCAGAAAGTCCATTGATGAAAACCCGTTTTCCTCGTGCTGACACAGCGTTGAAGTCATGTTTATACACGTGTTCATGCAGAACTGAAGTAACTCCACCCTGCTTACACCTCCAATCAAGACCATAATTAGTTCTTATAAGCATTTAGTGTTTTGGTTGTGAGAAGAAGTGATGATAAAAGGGGTTACAATTGTAAATCTAGATATACAAAAAAATAAAATAAATCACCCAACCCTCCATGGCCACTGGTTACCCCTAGTTGTGCCTGCATCATTCAATGAAATGACTCGGTTAGTTTTTGGAAAAGGTGGTGTAAAGGCTAATTCATGGTTTCTACATGAGTGAAAGCAGACATGCACTTGGTTCTGTTCTTACTACAAAGAAGGTCCACATCAATCTGACATGCCCCTTATCCACCGGATGCTTCGGAAAGGCTGGATGTAATTTTTTTTGCCTTTTACAGGACCGAGCAGCTAGTTACAGACTGACCTGTAGCACCGAGTCGATGTGATTGTTGACAGTAGGCAGACGTAGCACGGGATTTCTGGAGAATTTAATACTTCCTACTTACTCTTGACTGGAAGTACCTCCAAATTCCAGCAGCAAGTGCTTCAATTAAAACACTTTTAATGACAAATTAGAAAGGTGTTGATTGTGGATAATCTCCTCGTACAGCTTCTCCTCATGGCAAGCATTTGATTTTAGCACCATTTGTTTTTGTTTATGTCCACATTGAACACCGTCATTGACATGATAGGATGATGAAACTTTAGTCACACAGATATGCAGAAAACATCGGTTGGACTTTGATGATATGATAGTTGCCTAAAAATGAGTGACAGCAGCCCTGTCTTTATAAACAACTAGAGGTCACCTGTTTAACTATCAGTCGTTGAAGCAAGTAACCAGCATCGTGTGTTTTTTTTCTGGTGACATCAGGCATCGTCAGTGTTGAAGAGTGAACATCACTTCACTAGTCTCAAGTGAGACGCTCTCCTGATGCACATGTGTACTCTAAAAGCTGTACGTCACAGCATTAAAGTAAAGAATTTAGATATTAAGAACAGCCAGCGCAGTCTTTTTTCCCCCCACACACATACATGCTCCCATTAACACCACTGTAAATATCCCCACTGCTCCATTCATCAACACTTTATAGGCAATTAAGCAGCATGGCTCCCTAATAACTGAGCTGATGGCACCGTTCAGCCACTTCAGCTTGGGAGGCTTTCGCTTGGAACCGCCGCACAAATGTCCACACAGATGCAGACGTGCGTTTCTGTGTCTGAAAGTTCAGTGGCATTTTAGCAGCTACAGCAGCAGCACCTTTACAGGGGACAGAGTTTTTAGGAGGGCTAAGGACACAAGCTTCTCCCTGTAAAATTACCAGAGCCATAAAACCAAACACTGAAGGCTAAATCTGCGTCTAATTGACTTGATGTCTTCATTGTGTATTATGTTATGAGCCTAACTGCCAAAACAGCTTCGTATACATCCAGCATTAGGCCTTAGAGGTGCCCTGCGAGATGTGTCGAGTCGCTCCGTTCCATCCTTGCCAATTAAAGTGTTTTAATGAAGGGTCTTGTGGAACGGGACCACAGCCAAATGTTGATGCACTCGACGGCGGCGGCGGAAGGAGCAGCGCGACCTCGATGAGCATAAACACGACACATTACCCTCGCGTTACCTTCAGTAACTATACTTTTCCGTAAATTGCACTTTGGTGTCGAAAGCTAAGAGTGAGAGGAAGTGAGATTCAAACTTTAGACGCTGCTGATTTTATTACCTGAATCAGCCGCATAAATTAGATTAAATTAAAATGGAGACATCTTACTTTGTACATCCTAGATGTCTAATCTTAACTCAGTCTGTTATCTTAGTAAAAGGCTTTAAGGTAACAAAATAGATAATTTTTAATTGTCTACAAAACAACTAATAGGTGTGTTTTTTGTGATTTGGCACTAATATAAGTCCAAAGCTGCTGACTTTTACAAAACAAAGTTCACATATTTTCATCTCTTCGCAGCTAAAGGTGCTTTGAATTAAAAAAATAAAGGACTGTCGATTGCTCGTGGAAACAACTAGTGGTCTCAACAAATTCAAATATTTACATACTACTTAATTCTTTTGGCCACAAGCGGTCGAATAATCAGAGAAAAATCAAAAGAAATGTGGTTTAATGTCTGATATCGGCTTTTTTGCTAATATCCGATATGCCGATATTGTCCAACTCTCAATTTCCGATATCAACCGATATATGTTTGTTACTGCAGCCACACTTGTTTACATGCTTCATGACGCATTTTGATGTCGTCATCATTTATGCACCGGTAAATCCAGGCATGGTTTTATCGATTTTCATTATAGGCAAAAAAAATAACCCGATAACAATATTGACAGATATTACATTTTCATGCCAATATCGGGCATTTTTCCCTATTTAATGTATTTACACAAATGACCAAAGCTGTGATTTTTCTCGTCAGGGCAATCTTGGTAAATCCAAGTATACCCAGTGTGATAAATGTGATAATGTATGATATAGTACACTATAATACAATACTGTCATTTGTAATAAAAATAGGTGAGTTAATGTGTTTGTTTTTGTGTTTGTGGTGATTTTTCTTGTAATGTTTTAGAAAATCTGTTTATATAAACCCAGCTACATATAAAAGTTTGACACTGTACAATATGTGATGTGCAGCAGTACAAACTTAGATCGATTAAATAAAGAACTTTTTGATTCCATCTGAACTTCTACTTGCAGTAATGATGGGGTGTTTGATGTGGCCCTTCATGTCCACGTTCAAGTTTATAGCAACGGCAGGGTAACCTGGACCCCCCCTGCTCTCTACTGCAGCTCCTGTGGAGTCAAGGTGAACACACACAGCTGCCTTCAATATGCTTTTCCATCATTCTCCCCCTAAGCTCGGTCCCCCTCTCTGACTCTTTACCCACCTGTGTCTCTGTCCAGGTAACATATTTCCCGTTCGACTGGCAGAACTGCACCATGCAGTTCCGTTCCTACACATACGACTCGACGGAGATCGAGCTGCAGTACGCGCTGGACTCCAGAGGCAACGAGATCCGGGAGATCCAATTGGACGAGGCCTTCAGCGGTGAGCATCGTTGTGCACCGATTTTAATTTTCTCCTATTAGCTGCTTTATGTTTGCTTTTTGCCCAACATCTGAAGCGTGGTCACGGGAGCGTTTTCTACTTGTTTGACTGTGTTTGCACTTTTGTTCGGACTCTCTGGTGGTATGCAGATTTGTTGCTTGTGCGGTAGGAATATTAAATGTGCTGATCTTAATTGAAATCATTCCTAAATGCCTGAGCTGTGAATGTTCCCCCAGAGAGCGGCGAGTGGTACATCAGGCATAAGCCAAGCAGGAAGAACATGAACGACGACCTGTACGAGGACGTGACCTTCTACCTGATCATCGAGAGGAAGCCGCTGTACTACGTGCTCAACATCATCCTGCCCTGCATCCTCATCACCATCATCGCCATCTTTAACTTCTACCTGCCTCCTGATGCGGGTAGACACGTCAGATTATTTAAATATGAGCTAAAGCA